AATACTTTTACCCCCTACCACCCCGCCACCACTATCACCATTGTCATCCACGGTAGTCACCATCACAATCGGTCGTCGTCACCCATCACAACAATCACTATCTCCCACCACCACCACTACCACCGATTGTTCTAACTATAACTAGTACTTAATTTTTTCTCTATTCTCTATATTTATAATTTGATTTTGGGTGTGAATACAAATATATTTATTATTATTAATTTTTTTTATTATTTCATATCTTCANGCTTAAATTTTTTCTCTATTCTCTATATTTATAATTTGATTTTGGGTGTGAATACAAATATATTTATTATTATTAATTTTTTTATTATTTCATATCTTCAGGTATAGGAAATAACTAGTATATATACTATGGATAATCTGTGCCTGAAGGCACAATAAAATATGAATAATTTTGAGAGGGATGTTGGTGGCCTTTGAATGAGCTTGTTAAAACTTTCTTGTTTTATATTATAGATCGACGTATATAAAAACTAGGAGTTGGGGCTCTTGACCTAAGGTTCACTCCAAATCAATATGGGTGTGGTAAAAAATAGGGTTTTGGCTAAAAACACTTTAATTACTTGATATTTAAAGTTATGCACATTACCTTCTTATAGTTATATATTAAAGTGAAATAGTTACTTTTATAATTCAAGTTAACGGAAAGTATACTTCGCACGCTCAAATCATATTGTGGGCTTTGTTTTCAGTGTTTCCTTCCAAAAAAATATTGTCAAAATGCCTAAAATATCCTTTATAATATATGGTATAATACATAAATAAGTAGAACATCGGTCCCAGATTAGCAGTAAGAAAAACATAAGTAATTTTCGGCCTCAAAACAAAACCTCACTTGAGAGAAAAAAAGACTCAACATATTTGATTAAAATGTGTTGGTTTGTTATCATATTCTATTAGTTTTATGATTAAGAGTAAATCAGAAGAAACGTTTAATTTTAAAACGTGCGTATTATGGTAATTTTTTAATTCTATTAACGACATCAATTACTTTACTTTAGTTTATAACCATAAGAAGATAATATTCATAATTTTAAACGTCAAGTAAATAAGATATTTTTACCAAAAATTACATAGGGTAAAAAATAATTAACCCTAAAAAATATGTTATGGGATTGATCAGTCGGATCTGCATGTTCTCGTATGCTGCCCTCAAAGAAAGACGGATTTTCTAGGCTTGGTGAGAAGCCCAAAATCTGCAATATGGAAGTCAATTGGAGTTCCTATCACTCCGTCAATCGAGAAGATTGTTGGGAGGCTGTTGATTGGTGAGTGAAAGGTATTTTACACCTGGCTTCGTCAAAATCTTAAGAGTTTTTATTTGTTACAAAATATTCAAGTTTACATCGATTACTCCTTCAAACTCAAATATTGACCATCATAATTCGAATGAGTTTAAAATATGTCTCTGAAGAAACAAAGGTAACTAAACCTTAGGAAATATGAAAAATATTAATCAAAATTTAGAGTTTTACTTGCTCCTCAGACAACCATTTTTTTGTATGAAATTTTCCTTATGATTTTTCCTTGTTCTGTTTCCGATAATCAAGTTCTAAAAATTATGATCGAGGATGTTAATTGTTATAATCTCGTCTTTTAATATCAGAATAGCGGATACAATCAATGATTCAATGAGACAGACTCACTAACCTTTTTATTTTGTTTTCTTTTGATGTTTTCTAATATTTAGAATGGATTTAATTGGTATAATATAAACGGCCAATTCTTATGACAAGAAAATGGTGGCCAGCGTCTATCCCTTGGTTCATAGACCCATTAATGGCCATAAATCATTTGTAAAAGTCTTGCCCGTTCTAGAATTGAGAAACTCTATCTCAATATATGCGTATGAGTCCAAACAAACAATAGTAAAACAAAGCTATTTTTTTTTTATGAAAATTCACACATACTCATTTTAACTATTTAAAATAATTATCAATTTATTTTGGTCAATTTCTGCCAAAATGTAGGTCAAACTTGACTTGAAGTGCATCTTAGACATTTTGCACCTTGATTTGACCGTAACCTTGGATGGTGAAATGGACTTATTCAGACCTCCACATGGATGTTAGGAGTGCAACAAGACCAACATGGGGTCCACCAGGTCCCTAGGCTCTCCTCTCACCTTTGCAATGATATCAGAGAGATAAGGGAAATGACACTTTGCCTCCTGAAAGATTGAAATTTTTTTAATTTGTACCACAAAAGATTGATTGTTCCAAATTACACCCTCGATGTTAAAGACTGAAGGACATCGAACTTGCTGTTAACCCAAGCTATCACGTGAGATGCACGTGATAACCTGAAGACAATCATGTAAAACCACCATTGACCCAATTCTCTCTTTTATTCTAGACAATCAAGAATGAGGCTTCAGGGAGATGGGATTTCTTCAAGGGTGGTTGCCTCTCTCTGAAATCCGATTTCACTCTTCTCTAAACCAACAACCCTTCTTCACTCTGTTCTCAAGAGTGTCCAGAGCTACGTATATATATATATATACACACACACATTTGTTGTGTGTTTGTGCGAGTAAGAATGTAGAGTGTTGAAACCCTTTGCATGTCTTTTTGTTTCTGCTTCTTCCTCTTTTTCTTCCATTGTTGGTGCCATTGTTGTTGCTCTTGGTATTGATGTTGTTGGTGATGGTGATGGTGATGGTGATGGTGGTGGTTGTAGCTCTGGTGATCCGACACGTATATTTGAGAGGTTGGAATGATATGATATATTTATGAGCAAATGAATCAAGGCATTGAGATAATTTGACCCGTATCTTGGCGGGGCAAACCTGATGGTTTGTGGGTGTTTATCTCACATGCAACTGATTTTTGCAGCCATGGCGTGAGTTATCCATTCTCTTTGTCTGATCAAATATAGATCTGAAGCTCACACTTTTGACTATAATTTTTTGATTTTTTTTAATATTTTTTTTCATTTTTAGTAGCAAAATTACCGACTAAATCTTCATACCTAGATGATGTTTGATTTGATTTTGAAATCTTTATATTTGTTAAAATAGTAAAAGAATGATTGGCTAAATGATATGAATAATAAATTAGTTAAATTTAATTTAGACATGAATAATATGATATAAATAAAATTAGATATTTTATAATTATTAAAAATATTTATATAGTATTATATGGGTTGTTTTAAAATTAAATAATTTTTATTAACAAAAAAAATAAAATGAATAAAATATAAATTAAAAATAATATAACATCATACATTACCCAGAATAAAATGAGAAATTAGGTATGTGATGTTTTACATGATTGCCCTTCAGTTTATCATGTGCATCTCATGTGATAAATTGTGTTAACAGCTAGTTCGACGTCCGTTAGTCTGAGGGCCACATTGTCACCAAATATTAACATTGAGGATACAATTTGAAACAATCAATTTTTGGTGTTACAAATTAAAAAGTTTTCAATCTTTCAAGGGACAAAGTACCATTTGCCCAAGAAATAAATAATACACAATTTTACCCCATTTTAAGAGAGGCTAATTTTCAAATTCGAACCAACAAAAATAAAACTAGGAGTTCATTCTAGGTAGTGGTGTTTCTCCAATCCAACAGGTAAGAATTATAACATTTTATCTTTCTACCTGACATTTTGTTGAAGAAATTTTTCTTAACTTATCCTATCCGATCAAGTGAATTATTTCTACTCAAATTCCATTCAAAATAATCAAGCAAAAAGTCAGATAGAAAATTAGGTGAATACAATATTTTTTAGTTATTAATTTTTAAATAATTTAGCAATTCAATTAAATAACACACACTAATTAACCAACACAATAAATTTAAAAATGTTAAAAACTTNAAAGTCAGATAGAAAATTAGGTGAATACAATATTTTTTAGTTATTAATTTTTAAATAATTTAGCAATTCAATTAAATAACACACACTAATTAACCAACACAATAAATTTAAAAATGTTAAAAACTTAACACATTAACAGTATTTATAATTTGTGATTTCTGCACACATTGACAGTGTAAAAATGTTAACAATTTAACACATACACACACACGTGCGGGTAGGATCACATAGAAAAATAATATTTTTATGAGTATTTTGAATTCTTATCTTATTTTTGCAAAATACAAAATTTCTTCTGTTGGCTTACTCGATTTTTTGTGATAGTCAATCAGTAGAGTACGGTAAGATCTTAATATTTGGGTAATCGAAAATTTAAACACCCCTAATTCTAAGATCTGATGTCAACCATCTCCCTCTTGAGAGGAGGGGGATGACGCTTCACCTTGACATAACATATATTTAAGATAACTTAGTTACTAGTAACAAAACATCATCTCTTCCCCCTTTAGTATTGCAGTTTGGATGAAGAAAGAGATTCAGCTGAAGAAAATATCATATACCATAAGCAAAGCAACCACCTCATAAAACTTGGTTACTACTCTTAACATGTTTTGGAAAATGCAAAAGCTCTAATTCCAAAAACCTACATTTATAATGCCTCCTTTATCAAATTTCTTCATAAAGATATACCTTGCGTACTTTCCATGTGTACTCGCCTAACTTCTTCTTTTTGAGGATTCTCAGTTGCCTTTGTGCTTTTGAAGGTAATAGAAGACGATTGTAATATCGTCTGCATCGTCTTATCGTCTGCTCAACCCTGGNCCTAACTTCTTCTTTTTGAGGATTCTCAGTTGCCTTTGTGCTTTTGAAGGTAATATAAGACGATGGCATCCAGCTGGGGTTCCAAAGGAACTTAATCTGAGTGTGTAGTTCTGGAGGACTTGTCTGCAGTTTCCTACCTCTATATTCTTGGACGTAATGTTAATGTCGAAGCAAAATCTTGGTAGTTGGACACAGGGTACCCATACCTGCAAGTAGAGCTCAACAAAGATAATTTTCCTGCTTACCATGTATCCCGAAAGAGTAAATTGATGCTTGAAAAATACCAGTGTGTCACCAATGTCTAGCTACAACTGTCCAAATCCTTGGCTATTGAACAGTTCTTCGATCGCTAGGCATGGAAATTTCTCCTCCAATGATTCTTTCGACAGAGGGCCCCATCTCATGGACATAGTTAACAGATTCTGAGAGCCGATTGAGCAGGTTCATCATAGCAATCACTTCATTTCGTTGCAATTCCAACTAAAGGGCAATGCAAAATAAAAAAGGATGGAAGTTACCCAAACAAATCATGGCATGGACACAAGATTTAACCTAAAATTAATAGAAGCTTAACTAGTTGACTCTTAAATGGGTCAGTTGGTGAATGGTGATATTGTAGGTCTCAAAGGGATGAAGACATTTTAAAAATTGTTCATCCAAACAATGCTGCATTTGATGTTAACATTTTGGCTTGGCCGTGATGAAACAAATGGAAAACAGTGTCAACGTAGACATTAACATTTGTCTGCATAATGAATCTGTAAACATGACTAACCAAAGCGTGAGTTTGAAAGGACAGTTTAACAACGCCATCGAATAAACTCAAAAAAGCCATATATTCATAGTTAAAATCCAACCAGTCATCTGCTAAGAAAATTTTGGAGAGATTCTTATTCATACAATAGTACAGATTTATGTAATGAAAGCACATGATTTTAATGTCAACTGCAAAAATATAATGTGAGCATACAGTAAAATGGAAATTATTTTTCGAACTCGATTCAGGTGATAGAAACTTACAGTCTGTCCAAAGTGGTCCTGGCCATTAACAGAGAAGAGGATTTTCAATGCAGTACCGAGACCAAGAACCTGAAGCTTTCCCCAAAGACGACATTTTTCACATCCCACACAGTCCATCAATGCACTGCAATGTTGATGTATACCAACACAGTTATGTCATTGCCACCACAATCTTCTGTCGAAATTAACAGTAGATTTGTTGAAGGGAAGTTGGGGAAATCCCATGCGGGGTGTGCTGTGGGTCAAATATATACAGACCTTACCCCCACATGGAGATGCTGTGTGAAAGGAAGTAAGTAATATGTAGAGAAGAAAATGCAATTGAGCCAAAATAAAACATGAAAAAGGTAACATGCCAAAAAAAAAAA